TTTCCCTAATTCGTTAGTTCGTTAAAAAATAATCCTTATAAATTACAGTACAACATTTTTAAGGCGTTATTTATTTTAATTAAGTTCACCATCTCTTATGCTCGCTACGTATAAGTCACGAACTATAAATTACTAATAAATAATCAAGCTCGCTAACTTTAATAAGTACCAATAAAACACTTACCTACAGCTAAGTACACAAAATCAGTTTAATTCGGAATTGGTTTTGCATGTCGTGAACAAATTGCTCCCTCATTAATTTCCAATTGTTACTTATTTATGTAACAATATAACAGTGCTTTATAGTGTTTTTTTACAATATCGATGGAACTTTAGTACAGTAGAGGACCTTGTGAAAGAGGTCGTCCAGGGAAGTACCTTATCTACGTCTGCCGCCAAGCAGTATGAGCATTACTGCTTTCCGGTTTTCAAGGATAAGGGTCCTGGCGAAATTTTATATTTATTTATTTTCAGGTTACAAAAGACCAATAAAACACATACCTTATAGACTAACATACATAATAATATGATAACTATTAATTTATTTACACGTGTGGACCGCGACGTGTGACGCAACGTGGGTATCCGATAGCCGTCCTCGGAAACGCCGGAACATGACACCCTTTGGCCAAAAGTCCTCCTTCGTGAAGGTCGACAGAAATTGAGTTGGTACTCTCACCACAAATGAATTAAAATTCACATTCTGGCGGGACTCCAACTTCTCGACCCTTAGCTTTGGCTTTCACCCATATGTACTCCACAATGTCCGCAGGCTTTGTGGAGTAATGAAGTCGTGACACGTATAGCAACGTCGTCGGTACCGCTGGACGCAATAGATGGTTGGGCCATTCGGGGCGGTGCCACTAAGGTTACGGCTAGTGTACTTCTTTTTCTTTTCCACCTTTTTAAAGCCGTCCTCGTCGCACTGGTCTACTCCTCTCGGCGGTATTGACGACACAGCTCCAGAGATGAATTTCCGCTTTTTCTTCTTCCCCTCCGTTGGTGGCCTGGGTTGTGGTTGTGGAGCAATGGGTTGGGTAGCAGCGGCCACAGCAGCGTAATCATGACGAGGGGTCAACGTGCTTACGAAGGACATCTCCGCCGGGGCGGAAAAACGAGGGCTAGGGCGCGGGGAAACGCGCGCGGCGACAGCGGCAGCGGTCGGTGACACATCCATATGAGCCGACCTAAAACTGCCGATAGATGCGTTTTGCGCCCCGTGACAAGTGTTCACGTTGCAGGCCGCAGGTGACCCACTTACAGAAGTTGCACTACTAAGTAACACAACTTGTGCACGTAAATCACTGAAGGTGTTATCCGAGGCCTCCAATTTACACCGAACTTCAGCGTGGCGTCTACATGGTCGAACGTGACAGTGGAACGTGGACATGGTCGGTCGGTCTCCTTAAACAGCGTAATGATGACCTGGAGACTCTTCGCCCCTCCATCCCTCCGGCGAGAAGGCATCTGCTCGGCCTTGCCGAACATGCGGAAAAGCAGCGCCTTGTCACTGCAAATATCTTCTTCTTTGAAGTTTGACTTGCAGATCTGCACGATGCTGACCACGTCCATAGTGTCGATGGCGTGTTGGATGAAAGCCAACAGTTCATTGGCTACGAGTTATTGAGAACCCATAGTCAATTACGCGCAGCGGTCCCGGGTTCGTTTCCAGGCCGGGAAAAATATTTGTATGGCCTACATTTATTTTTCTCATGACTTTGGGTGTAATTTGTGGTTGTTTATGTGTGTGTCCATGGCACCCGCGATACAGGTTTTCTAGTGCGGGGCTGTGAATATTATTATTATATTAAATATGACTTTAATGTGATAGAAGCATCTTTGTCGAATGATATTTTGCTTTATAATACCAAGTAAATATATAATTTTAGATCGTGTTATCGATTACTGACGCAAACAGCACTAATCACATAATACAGGTATTATTTCAACTATACCGTTTCGTGCCACTCATAGATGGCCATGGCATTAATGGTTCTAGTATCGTCCCGCTGCGGAGTAGCGCGTTGATAACGTCAGATGACAATCATCATTTTGTGCCTTAAATAGAATCGCTTTAATTTGCCGGATAAGAAGAATTATGTAAAATAGTCCAAATGTGATTTGTTAAAGTAGGTCACGAGTAGGCATAGCAGTGCCGGCACTGGTTAGAAATTTGCAATTCCCGGTACCGGTAAAAATTGGTACCGGGAAATCCCGAGAAATTTCGATAAATTTCGGTATTTAACAAAAAACTATTGAACATAGCAAAAACTATTTTTTCGTTCAACAGAGAATTTACATTGTTTTCCTTTTAATTTTGAAGCAAAATAATCAAACGGCCATTCTCACATTCCTTGTTTTCAGCGTAATTACCGTAGCCATTGTTTTTTCTCGCCTCTTATATCCAATCCAATAATATTGAAATACATATATTTTTTGGAAACGGTAATTAGATCTAATTGCCGTAACCATGGATACGGTAATTAGAAAATTCATAAATAAATCAAGTTCACGAGTAAAATATAAGGAAATTGCAACGATTAGTTGCCATATTACCTCGGTTAGAGGCGGCTTGTTGATATGTTATGCAACGATTCGTAACATTTTACAATAACATTTTCTGTTAACAATTTAAAATATTAACAAATCGACGCGGCAACATTATACATGGTCGCGCCTAATTATATTGTATAGGGTTTTTGAACAAGAAGTTTGTTTTGTAAATCAAAATAAATCAATAAATTTAACTAAATGACAATGATTCAAATTTTTATTGTATAAAAAAAAAGTAAGGTTTGGCAATTATGCATGAAAAATGATATCTGACAAATGTCCACCACGACCACAATTACAGATGTCGATTCTTTCATCAAAGTTTTTAATTACTTTTTGACAAAATGGTGGGTCTATTTCGTTAATCACTTCACGAATGTTAGTTCTAAGGCTGCAATCGATTCAATTGGCTCCGTATAGACTCTGTCTTTAACATACCCCCATAAAAAATAATGCAGCGATGTTAAATCACATGATCGATTTGGCCACTTGTACTAAATTTCGTGAAATTATGCGATCGGGAAATTTGGTTTGCAATAAATTCATTGTTTCGGTGGCTGTGTGACGTGTGGCACCGTCTTATTGAAACCACATGTTAGTGATATCCATATCATCTTAATAGACCAAAATTGAATGGTTAAAATTTCTCGATAGCGTAATCCATTGACCGCAACCGCATTTCCAGCTGTATTTTCGAAAAAAAACAAACGGCCCTGTAACTGTGGTCGTGGTGGACATTTATCAGATATCATTTCTCATTGATAATTTCCAAACCTTGCTTTTTTTATACAATAAAAATTTGAAACATGTCATCTAAATTTATTGTTTTGTTTTGATTTACAAAACAAAGTTCTTGTTGAAGCAAAAAACAAAATTCAAAAAATGTGGTGTCGATGTCTACGAGTAGTCAAAAGAAACAAGAGTAACATAAAGTAGTTTAAACCACCAAATATTAATTGATTACTTTTTGCGGTTCGGGGTTTGCCGGAAACACCTATGTATTGATTTTCAGCGCCAATATTTTATATTCTATAAACGTTACGACACAGATTAATTGTGTTTTTCTCTTAAATCTTAAATGGACTTCAATTTCGTTTAAAATATTGTTAAACGTGTACTCTAACAATTTGCTTATTTTCGCCCTTGAACGCCTAAGAAAACTCAACTCGGTTCTGCTACAAATCATCAATCAATCAAAATGTCTTGCACATGTTTGTTTTTGGCCATAGCCGAACGGTTACCATGCCGGACTGCCACGCAGAAGTCCCAGGTTCGATTCCCGGGCCGGGAGAAATATGGCCTACATTTATTTCTCTCGTGAGTTTGGGTGTAATTTGTGGTTGTCTATGTGTGTGTCCATGGTACCCTCGACACAGGGTTTCCCTAGTGCGGGGCTATGTTGAGTGTGTGCATTATTATTATTATTTTTAAAACTGTAAAATACTTTTATTAACTTGCATTCGGAAACACAAAGACAGCAAATAATAATTTAGTAGAAGCAGCATAATAAGCAAAATCAACAAGTAAATATAACTTTATTTAATTCAATTTTTATTGAATTGATATTCAATTATTTTTTGGGAAATTACTCCACTAGTTTATTATAATTATTAATACACATCCAGCCGGATTTCAACCGATGTCTTCTAGCAAACCGTGCCAGACACTATGCCAACTAAGCAACGGAACGAACCAGCGGACCTCACGAATTTTTCTTTGTGCTTGTTGTTGGATCTTTGTATTTGGTTTTCAACGACTTTTTAGCCATAGCGCCATCTATGACAGATCTATGAAAATATTTTCTCACCCAGTTATATACCTTTACAGTACCAGCCCTGGCTAAAGATGTCGCTACTAACGTTTAATTAAGTTTTTTATTGAATTGATATTCAATTATTTTTTTGTGAAATTATTCCACTAATTTGTTATAATTATTAATACAAAGATCGAACACTTAGAAAAAATTCCTTCGAATAACTTTGTTCATTTATTAATAATTTAAATGTAGGGGAATAGCAGCATCATCAGTTCACACATTACTTAATAGTTAGTACTTAACAGATACATCACTCTCATGCAAAATCGAAAATACTCAGAGAGGTGAAAATAACGTTGCCCGCCTTATGCAGCCGTGCGGAGCCGAATGCTCATAAATGAAAAACTTTTATGAGCGCTTGCGCCGACGTCGGTGCACTCAGCGGTAGGCACTTATCGCGTACCCTTGAGCGAGTGACGGAGCCCTGGCATCGTTCACAATTTGTAGAAAATGGCTTTAACAACTATTTTAAAATTTAATTAGAGCTACACTGTTAATTGCTGTTGTCGATTTGGAACTGCCTATTCAGAGAACACTGACATTTACAAACAAATTATAGGGGATTTGCATCCGCTACACCGTTGCCTATGACTTAGAGCACACCCCGTAATCCAAACTTTTTCTCTTTCAGTAACCATTCCCTTACTAAATTTCGGCATGGTGCAAGGCTGGTTATCACCAATGATATGGCTTCTACAATCTGCAGATAGTCCCTCACCGGTGCCTTATGACGCCACTGAAATTAGCTGGGTGACATCAGTGACATATATCACCGCCATCATAACTGGTGCGCCAATGGGGGCGCTTTGTGATCGATATGGCAGAAAAATCATGGCTTTACTCACAACGTTCTCACTTATAGTAAGTATTTATAATCTCTTAATGTAGCTGTAGGCACATTACTTAGGTATATAAATTGATATCAGTGTCATTATTTCATTACGTCAATATATCAGTGCCATCATAAGTACAACCTCCGTGGTCGATTGGCTTGCACATCGGTTTTCATGGTCTCGCCATCTCTGAGGTCCCGGGCTCGATTAGATATCGTTCCCGAATCGAACGGCGCTTTCCGAGCTATTCAGAACATTCGAGTTAAACGTTAGATTCGGATTTGGATACGATATCTTAATCCAACAGCGTTTACGGAGTTAGTCGGCGAAATAGATTATAAGAAAAATGAAAATCTTTTTATATACATTTTTAATACCATAGAGGGCTAAAATATAGGAATGCATTAGTTTTGCACTAAAATAAATAAATAAATAAAATTGAACAAAATCCAGACTTTATTTAAAATACTATGAGATCTCCATATTATATTCTTGCTTTGTAAACAATAGGACGTTCGGTAACTTTCATTCAATAACTGTGTTCTGCACATTGACTTACGTATATGGACGTCGGGTCCGCGCTCAAAAGTGTCCGCACTTGTAAGGCGCTAAAATCGTATACAGAGTGCCAAACTCCGCTTTAGTCTTCATTTGTTCTACTGACAGCGCGATACTGCGATGACATTACAATTTAAATTTCGAATAGGTTGACTTGGGACATTTTTTTCGTGGTTTTTGTATTAGACCCGTCGTCCATTTATTTGTAAGTCAATGGTTCTGCATAACATTCGTAACCTTTGCCGGTCGAGAAGTTCGAGTAATCGTACGGATGTGACGTCTTTTCGGGTCGGTTTCGAATACGACAGTTTGACGTTCGATTCGTGTGTTACCAACAGGCACACGACTTGTTCGTCGCGTCCCTTAATATTATAAAAAAAATAAGTTTACGGTAAACGCTGTTACTGCCCATGAATGGGTTAAGTATCTACAATCCCCTGATGTAACTATAGACACATGACGTTTTCATCACCATTGTGATTGGTCTAGCAATGCGCTTTGTAATGGCGATGACAAAAAGTCATGACATTAAACACTATAATTTCTCTTCTTAGGGCGCGTTCCCACTATGTCGTAACGTTTTATTTATCGTTGGATGACTGTCGCATCTAGCCTGTTCCCATATCCCGACTATCTGTCGTGACTGTGTCGTGGTTGTTTATTTTATCATTGAACGACTGTCGTGGCCAGGTTGTTCGCACTAGATCGTGACGACAATTTATCGATTAACGGCAGCCGCCTTGTCGTTTGCACGACAGAATCGTTTGAAGCTGCTTATTATCTGTCGTTACATTTTTATCGTGGCGTTTTATTTATCATCAGACGACTGTCGTTCTAGCTCTTCCCATTGTCACGACAGGCTGCCATCGTAACGTCAGAATAGTAGTAAAAGATAGTTAATTGTTTTGTTCTATGTGTGAACGAGTTCAATTAAACATACAAGAGACGCCACTTTAAAATGCACGACTATCTGTCATCACGACATAATGAGAAAACCCCCGAAGAAGTTCATGTAACTTTTTATAAAACTACTCGTAGATATAAGGTGGGATAAGAGGAACATACTTTATTTTGAGTCAAATATTTTAAGCTCTAGGAAGAACAGATAAAATCTTATAAGAATTTAGAAGCACACTAAACTTGCCTTTGTTTATCAGCTTTAAATATTTTTAATCGACTACAAAATAAAGAAGGAGGTTCTCAATTCGACAAATTTAAATTACAAGCGATTCAAGTATTGGAACCACCACAACATACCATATCTGATCTTCGGCATCGAAGGTCAGTCCATCTAATAATAATCGGCTTTTTATAATCCCGCAACCTCGGCGTTATAATTGTCACAATTTGCTAATTAATGTCAGTTTTGATTATTTCACGCTTTCTTTCTCTTTAATATTGAATACACATCTAAAACACCATTTAATACACACCAATTGGTTATAATGTTAAAGACTGCTTCATTTAATTTGTATAATTTCAAAAATACAACAAGGTCTACTGCTACTAAGACGATTAATACCAATCTAATATTTTACTTACTTTTAGCAGCGCAAACGCGCGATTGCATCGAAGTAGGCGCTGCTTAAAATCACGCGTGTGTGTAAAGGTAGACAGACGATTAGCGACTGCATCACTAGTGCATCGCGTTTGCATCGCTGCCAAAAGTCGCCGTATGTAACTGCTGTTAAATTTTATAAAAAGAAGGCAACACTCTCAAAAACATATGTTGCCACTTTTTTGTTTGTATTGCCCTAAGAAATGATAATAAAAAACAAAAAAGATTGTATGCAACGATTTTTTTGTTTAGTTAAATCGTTTTCTTATGTTGGGTGCTGGCCGGAAGGAACGAGCAGAGACTCTGTTAATAATGTTTTTATATCTATTTAGATCGTTATAGTACTTTACACAAACGTTTATCTGGAAATTTTGTAAACACTTGGAGGCTTTGTATTATTGAAAAAGGTTAGACAAAGAGGTGGAAGTAACAGTAGACCTACTACTGGAAGAATCGAGATGTAAAGCAAAGAAAGGAGGTTTCTCACAAAAAGAGGAATTCGTCTTTCGTCGTTCGTCTGTGACACAATCCAATTTAAAAAAACGTTGATCAAAAATATCTAAAAACTATTTGTCGGCAAGACGCTTGCCATATGTAGATTAAGGAAGAGAGATAAGGGCGAAAGAATTGCGAATCCATTGGAATTTACGAGAATGTGCCTACTTTATATTATGTAGCGATATTTGTATGGCAACAACGAATAACAAAAACATATCGTGAAAAGGAATACACATTTAAAATGAATAAAAGCTATAAAATGTCTCAAAAAAATCGCGGTGGTAAAAATCGTGAAATTACAAAAGTCAATAATAGCATTTACCTTTTAAATATTTTTCATTAACGACGGTAATAATAATTAAAATAAGTAAGGTACGTCTTAATCGAAAAGTGTCATTATATTTTCAGGTGTACTGGCAGATCAAGCTCCTGTCACTGGAACCGTGGGCGCTGATCCTTGCGCGGGCAGTGGCTGGTATCCCTTGCTCGGCATGCTACATTGTGCTACCGATATACCTCAAAGAGATATGCGATATTGACTTAAGAGGGGCGCTTGGATCTATGCTCATTATGAACAGGTGAGTTATTCATGAACGCTGGTGATATACACCCTTTGGGTGTTCTTATTCTCGTCCTCGACGTCGTGACTAATGTTATCAGTACCGTAGAAGCAGACATCCAATGCTGCAGTGATGGAATCCGAACCGTTTAATAATGTTCACACTGAAAAATGGGAAAAAACCGGTCATACCCAGAAAGAACTTGTTCAGTAGAATTAACGATATGGGTGAGGACTCTTCCCACCAGCCGAAGCTGTTTCGACTTTTGAGCATTTGAAGAACTGTTGAGCTATACTAGTCAAAAAATGTTTCGGTCGGTCAGCTCTTTCTATAGTGCTAGCACATCTCAGAGGATTTTGGGTGGAGTGATACCGGGTCCTTGATTCAGTTCTTGTGCCGGAAGTGGTTAAAAATTACAAGTGATTATTTAGAATCTTGATTTACTACGTAACCCATCTGATAATATTTCGTCAATTTCCTTCTTCTTTGGACAGGCCAGTATCTAATGACAGGCTTTATAAAATATATGATATTAATATTCGGACAGTCAATGTGTGCCTATTATATTTACCTTTTAGTAGCTGGCTATCATGCATAACTACTTAACGGTGCCGAAGGCATTTGAGTAATTTCCGCTGACAATTTTCCTTCATATATTTTTTTCAAAATTAACCAACATTTTTTAACAAAGTTTAAATTTAGCATTTGACAGAACACACAAAGTAAATTAATTTTCTGACTGTCTATCAGAGTTTATTCAGGACCTAAATTCTTAATTGATCCTTAAAATTTTCAGAAACATTGGCTACCTATTGAGCTACATCGGCGCAGATCTACTAGCTGTGAACACCATGCTGTGGTTGGGCCTTATCGTACCCAGTGTTGTGTTTTGCGCGTTTCTGTTCATACCCGAGACGCCCGAATTCCTCGTTAAGCAGGGTAAAGTTGATGTGAGTAGAGTTTTAGAATCTTGTATAAATAAGATGTTCGTTCAAGAAAGTCTTTTATAAGAAGACCATGAAATCACGTGATTTTAAATGTTTGAAATATTATTTTAGTTTGATAAGGACATTTGCCTTAATCAGAAATAGCAAAGCATGAAATATGTTACTTTGCGTTAGAGGTAGATATATTATCTAACTTGACTCATGTTGTATCTAACATGGCTTTTGTACACGTATCATTCTAATCAATAATGCATTTAGGAAGCAAGATCAGTATTAGCGTGGCTACGTGGGCTGTCTGTCACGGACCGATCTTTGGAATCCGAAATGGAGAAAATCGTGAATGCGGAGAAAAAAGCTGACCATAAATCTGTATGGGGAATCATTTGTAAGTTGAAAGTAGTACCTGAAATAACTATATTCTGAAACAACGTGGTTATAGAACTAAAACCGAACTTTACGGTTATTAAATTTGAAACTAAAATAGACGACATTGAGTAAGCTAAGTAACAAGACGAGGGAATTTGAAGAGCTATCATCACAAAGTTATGGAGAGGCTTTGAACTGTTTCAATATACCTACACCAATGATAGAATGCAACAGACACAAGCATGAGGTATATGCATACATATCGCCGTGATCTCTTTATGGCGACACTTCACAAGGCCACTTGTATTCGCTATTGGGTGTTGGGTGTAATTGGAAAAATATTTGACGTACAAATCAACATGCAATCACTGACAATTATGATCGTCTACATATGGAGCCAAATATGAAGTTAAAATAATGAATGTGACCATAGTGTGGACGGTTTGCTTGGGTATTAGCCTAATTGGCACCTTTGACGTGCATCGAGAAACCGACCAGCGTGCGGTAACGCGAATTTGGTATTAGCTGTATTTGTCGAATAGGCAAATAATGCAAATACTTTGTCACACATGCTACGTACACATGGAGATTGTTTGACAAATATATGAAATAAGCAAATACAAATAGCAGTAGAACTTCTTGTGAAAGAGTTCGTCCAGGGAAGTACTGCGACCATACCTATTTCTGACGCCAAATAGTAATGTGAACATTACTTACTGCGTTCCGGTTTCGAAGGTTAAGTGTGCTGGTGAAATTACAGGCACACGTTACTTGTCAATTGTCTCTCAGGCTGTCGGGCGCAGTGACAGTGCCCCTCAGATCTTTGTGACACAGTATCGCCTACCACTTACTTAGTATTATAAAAAAAATGAAGTGCCATCATAAAAATCAGTATTCTACAGGTATAAACACTTGAACCAATGTGTTTTGTTTATTATATCTTATTTATGTGACATTATGATCTTCGCTGATGATTATTCTTTATAGAACTGATAGGCATGAAACTAATTTTGATAATATGAAAAATAGGTACCTTTATAACAACATGTACGCCAAAGTTAGTTGTTTACATGGCACTAAAATATTAACATTAAATCTTTCCAGACGCAGACAAACCAACCCGTCGAGCTTTTATAATCACCATAGTAATAAAGATAACCCAACAATTCGACGGCTACCTCATCGTCCTCATCTACGCGGGATTCGTCTTCAAGCAAGCTTCATCTTCCATCGGGTTAGAGCTGACGCCGAACAAGCAAGTAATGGTGATTGGTTTGGTGCAGTTGCTGGGGTCTACAGTAGCTACTTGCGTTGTTGAGAAAACCGGTAGAAAGGTAAGATTTTTCTTTTTAGCAATGGATTTTAATAGGCATTATTCTATGTTTACATATGGCTCAGCTGTTTTTAACTTAATACGGTACTCGTATAGTGACCCCGAATAATTCGATGCTATGATTATGTTTTTTTATATAATATCTAGTGAAGGGACGAACAAGTCGTGCACCTGATGCTACACGCCTGTCGATAACAGTTGCAGTGCCGCTCTGCGCTTTAAATCGAAACGATCTGAGGGGCATTATCACTGCGCCCGTCACCCAGAGACAAGTTGACAAGTCCCATGTGCCTGTAATTTCACCAGCTACAGACAGGATAGGACAGTTATGCTGACATTACTATTTGGCGCCAGAAATAGGTGAAGTGGCAGTACTAGCCTGGACGAACTCTTTCACAAGGAGGTCTTCTACTAAAACACTGTATTTTAGTTATGAATTCTACTCTACAAACAAAGAGTCACAATATTATATCCATTGAGCGAATTCTGTTGGCTGCTATATTTGCGCAAACGCAGTCACAGACGTGACATGAGAGTAGTAATTATGAGTGCCAGGGCATGTGATGATCAAGTTTAAAATGTAAGATACGCCGTTGGTTGCCATAATAGTTTATTCACTTAAAATTTACAATTTACAATTTATTCATTTCAGCTTCTCCTAGTCACAACCTCGTTTCTCGTAGGCGTCGGCATGTTAGTTTTGTCAAGTTGGTTCTACCTGACGTCTATGGGCGTGTGGCTCCCAGGCTGGCTGCCAGTCGTCGCTATGTGCATAGCCATCTTCGCTGATGCCGCCGGCTTCCAGCCAATCTCATATATCATCATTACAGACATGTTTGCTTTTCAGGTTGGTTGACTTTTGTATTTTTATTATCTATTTTAAATAATAACTCATTCTTACAGCTTTCAGCTATGAATCGTCACATTCCTGTATCCTAATTCCTTGCTCCCGTATGTCCTTTCTTCCTACATGCTTTTCTCTCGTTAATTTTCTTTCTTATTTGTTTAAGTAAGTCTATTCTAGTTCCATCCATCCATGTTATACTGTTATCTTTAAATATTTCCCCCAAAACGTTTCATTTATTTTTCCAGCTCCGAGGCACAGTGTCATCAATCGCAAATATTTCCGCAAAATTGAGCAACTTTATACAAATGAAGTGGTTCACGAACCTCTGCGAATTCGTCGGCATACATTGGACGTTTTTTTTCTTCGCCGTCGTATGCTTTATCGCCTGTTTTTACTCAATGGTGGAGTTCCCTGAAACGAGACAAAAGACTGTTGAAGAAATTTATACTAAGCTTAATCGGAAAGAAAAGAATAAAAGTGAGTCGATTCCGTAAAATTGTTTACGCCTACGTCTGGTTGATGTTGGGAAAAACGTTTTTATTTGAATGTCTATCCATCTTTCCAATCCATATAGACAAATTCTGTTCCAATACTTTTGGAAATTCAGACAAACTTGTACCTAAGCTCCGCACATTTGGTTGCAGAATTCTTTACTGAAATTTCAGAAGCTGTTGAAGTTCAACAATGTTTAGTAGAATTATTACTCGCATCTATAAATAATTCATTTGAAATTATGATTAAGATTCTATTAACACTGTAAATGTTTGTAATAGCTGTGACTATTTTACTGTAAAAGTTAAATATACCAGACTGTCGTAGAAAACTGTAGCAGCACATTAATTAAATGTTTTTCTATTAGATTCTCATAAAGGCTTTATTATAGTCGTGGCTTTATCATAAGATCATTTATAGATGATGACACAAGACATGTTGAGTTGCATGTCGTTCATACATTACGTACAGCTGTCGCATCTTCCTTTAATTTTTTCCATCCTCTAAGGTCGCATCGTAGACTCGAGTGTCAATACATGTGTTCAGATCATACAACATCAGAAGTCGAATACGTATCTACAGTCAATAGCATGTCAACTTTAACGTTAAGAGCGGTTACACAAGGTGATTTTTAGCAGCGATGTAAATGCGATGCAGTAGCGATGCAGTCGCTAATCGTCTACCTTTAGGCTGATTACATATGGCGACGCGGCGGCGGCGTTCTTTGCCGCCGCCGGTCACAGTACAGAATGGACACCACAGCTGTAATGCTACTGATTGGTCTTCGTCGTCGTAACAAGCGAAAGGAAAGAACAATTTGGATCCATCCATTTATACCTACAAGGAAACATAACGGCAAATTTTATATACTGATTACGAAAACTTGAAAAGATATCCTGATAACGCGCAGCATTGGTAATGTTTTTATATTTGAATTGTTCTAATGATTTGTCCCACAGATCCGGTCTTTCACGGACATGTGAGATAAGTTTGTCAATAAATAAATTCTTAATAACTTCTGGAATGTTCATTCTGATTACAAAAATATTAATCTTTAACAAAAACGCACGCGACGTTCGTTCGCTTCATGTGTAAATGATCAACTGAATTCGTACATCAGTAGAGAATTGCGGCAACGCTCGCCTCCGCCGCCGCGGCATTAAGATTCGCCGCTGCTGTTGCGGTGTTTGTGTGAAAGTGTGTATACAAATGCACGGGTGACTACAACAGCGGCGCCTCAGCGGCAGTGGTGCCGCTGTTTTTGCGGCGCCATGTGTAACCAGCCACACACACACGCGCGATTTTAAGCAGCGATGCAAGAGCGCGACTTCGCTACACTTGGGATTCATAGGCGATTGTATCGATGCAATAGCACATTTCTATCGATGCTGTCGCGCATTTGCTTCGATGCAATCCCCTATAAATCGCAAGTGTAGTGATGAAATCGCGCGTTTCACGAACGCGCGTTTGCATCGCTGCTAAAAGTCACCGTGTGTAACCACTCTAATATTTAAATTCAACTCTGTCTTTTACGATAAGAACGATTGAAAATCTAAAGTGTCTATCTTAACGTTCTTTTGACTGTAGGTACATTTATTTACTACCATCGTGTAAGGACAACCTGTGAGAGTAAACAAAATTCGATTACGAACTTTAACAGCCTATGCATAGGGTTTATTTTTTACGCGCAGATGATGCGCATTCTCGCCATTCAAACGAAATACAGTCGCAGCCAGTAAAACTTTACACACATTCATAAATCCAGTGGCGCCGTGTAAGGCGCGTTCATAAAACGCGCGTCATCTTACGCATAAAAAAATATGCTGTGTGCATACGCGCTATTCGGCGATACAGACGACTGCGGGTGACACCCCTCCCCCAGCCCTTTCCTCAGCCTTGCAATGCGATGTTCTTGTTATTGAATCGATTCAAAATTCAAACTCACATAAAATACAATGATAGCTAATAATAAAATAAGATACAAACGCAACAATCTGCTTTTTTAGCCCTTAATGCCACTCGGGCGTTGCGTCGTCGCAACTGCGTTGATTTCAACGGACTAAATGCCACACGGGCTGTTCCGTCGACGCGCGCTGTGTCAATACATCGTGTGGCATGTCGTTTTGATTTATATGTGGTACGACGCAGTTGCAACGAACGCAGTACCGATGCAACGCCCGTGTTGCATCTGCCTAAGGCGTCGTAAGGCAGGTTATCAGTGGCGGCCGCACTGACGCCACACGCGTCGAATAGCACGTTTGTGTTGTGGAAAGAGGTGTTGTCCAACTGCCTCCGTGGCCGAACGGTCACCATGCCGGACTGCCACGCAGAGGTCCCAGGTTCGATTCCCGGGCCGAGAGAAATATTTGTATAGCCTACATTTATTTCTCTCGTGAGTTTGGGTGTAATTTGTGGTTGTCTATGTGTGTGTCCATGGCACCCGCGACACAGGGTTTCCCTAGTGCGGGGCTATGTTGATTGTGAGCGTTATTATTATTATTATTATTATTTCTTCACAACTCTTCGCTCGAATATGTCGCGCTCTTTCGCACGAACGCCGCGAGGCAGTGCAGGCGCTCAGGTTCATCACCGCATTTTTTGTTGTTTGTGACAAATCGCCATCGCACCGCTGCTTGTCGTACGAAATTCAAGTGTCGTCGCGAGTCGCTGAATAATTTTATTTAATAATCCTCATTAATTGTAGAACATTTGAAATTTCTTTACGATATGAACAAATAAATTTCGCTTATCGTTTCTGCAGTGCGGCCACGCGGCCACCGACATAATAATATGTTAATATGAGTTTGTTTTCACGAAATCGCCGTCGCGTCGCAGTCACCTTAGTAGTGCGGCCGCGGCCTAAGTGTGTTTGTGAAACGCGCGTCCTCTACGCGAAAAAAAAAATACGCCGTGTGAATAGGCTCTAAATTTGAGATTTGGTTACAGATATATATCGAGTTCTTAGGTTTTCGCGATTGCTTCACATTGACAATGAAACAATGTTTCCGGATCTAAATCACGTATATTTGTTTTAGTGACATACTTGTAGGGCTTATATGGTGCTTGGCTCAGCTCAGTACCGGTAATCCCGGTATTGTCTGTATTCCCGATACTTCTTGAAAAGCTTAAACTGTAACCAGTAAGTATGCTTCTTCTGGATTATCTGTCAATAATTTACATAATTATAATACAATAAATAAAGAAAAACTCCATACTGTAATCAAACTGAAGGTTTTTATTTAAAATATCTATTTGTGAGGTAACTGCTATTAGTTAGTAGTTAACTAATAAAGTCACAAAATAACATGAACAATATAAAAAAACACAACTAAACGAAACTAATTTTCAGAATTCAATGTAATTATTACTCATGGCTCAGTAGGTCGGCAGTACCTGGCTATAACTGGGAGTGCTGGGAATCTATAATAGCGGTACCTGGACTTGATTGCACCTCGCCAGTACCGGGATTTCCCGGTATTTCCGGAACTGGGAATTCCCGGGAGCAAGCCCTACGTACTTGTGATGGTCACGGTTAACTGAGTCCAGCGTTAGTGTAACCGTTAATAACAAACACTCTTTCTAAAAATTACACTACCATTGGACTGAAATGACTTAGGGCAAGTTCCCGTTATGTCGTGACGACAGAAAGTCGTGCATTTTAAAGTGTCGTGCCTTGTATATTTAAACGAAGTTGTTCACACATAGAACAACACGAATAACTGTCGAACACGACTTTATTTATGTTACGACGACAGACTATCGTGATAATGAGAAGAGCTAGAACGACATTCGCCTAACAGTAAACAAAACGACACGATAAAAATGTGACGACAGATAATCACAGCTTCAAACGATTCTGTCCTGCAAAACGACAAGGCGGCAGCCGTGAACCGAGAGCTAGACACGTCAGTCGTTGCACGATAAGACTAAACGTCCATGACACAGTCACGACAGACAGTCGTGATACGGGAACAGGCTAGACGCAACAGTCGTCCAACGATAAATAAAACGTTACGACATAATAGGAACGCGCTCTTAGTATGAGAAAGTAAAAAAAGCATAATTATTTGAAATTATTTTTTCTGATCTAAATTGCTATAAGTAGTTTAGAATAGAGTGGTGACTAACACCATCTCAGTCAGCCGTGACCTCATTATATTGACTTTAGACGACATGATCGATTACAGATTGTTTGACAGTCACCTCGTAAAGGCTGGCATGTGTTAGATTCGTACCATGTTACGGAAATTTAATTTTTTGTAAAGTTTCGCTAGCTCTGCTCGTCGCTGTATGCTTAGTTCAAAATTGCAGTGTTCTGAAATACTGCGTTATTTTATAAAGGCAGCGATGTCGCATCCACGATCTGTTCAAATCATTTTAGATCAGAGCTGTTCTTAGACCCTTGTACTGGTTACAACATAAATTTCAACAGTATTGGTGTGGTGATTAAATGTATGAAGATCAACAACTCGTAACTAAAATTAAATCTTCAGTAAAGTCTGAATAATGGTACTTATTGATTGCATTATGTCATTATTACAAAACTTAACGCATTGCACTTTTAAGTGATTGACCAGAAAATATGCATAAATTTACGAAAAAACACAGCAACTAAGTTTTAATTTCGCTTAAAATGTAATATAATAATGATGTAAACAATAACTAGAATACGATAGATTTTTATTTCATCTACGAACAAATTGTACAATATTTAAATACCTATGAGACGTATATCTGTCCATCTTTTACATTTCTAAGTCCCTACAAACTCAATAGAAGTTATTCAAATTTTGCAGAGCGGATCCTGAGGGTCAAATACAGGTCAAGCTCGTATTTCATCTAGATCAGGCCACTATTACTTGTGACCAAACTCAAAACAAGGTCACGGGCTGACACCTAGTGTATCTCAGAATGTATGTATCATCATTACCGTTTAATAAACTAGTATACTTGTGTATAATTGGCGAAATATTATTTGTATCGATTCGTCTTATCGCTTCATCTTTAGAATACAATAGGACAAAGAGTGAGTCGTCTCGGTAACGCACGTGCCAACTGTATAATGCAAACAACTAGTTCAAATACTTTTATGCATTGGCACTTCTGGCACCAGTGGAGCTCTTTGTGAAAGAGTCCGTCCAGGGAAGTACTGCCATCTTATTCTAATTGTGCTGCCAAGCGGTAATGTTAGCATTACTGCGTTCCAATTTAGAAATTTACAGGCACATGGACTTGTCAACTTATGTCTCAGGGTGACGGGCGCAGCAGTGCCTTTAAGATCTTGGCGATTTAAAGCTCGTAGTGGCCATGCAACTGTTATGGATAGGCGTGTCGCTT